TTCAGGTGATTTTCCTCCACGGCAACAAAATCAGCTACGTGGGAGTGAATGACTTCTGTCCCATCCGGCCGAGCGACAAGAAGAACCTGTACACCGGCATCAGCCTGTTCGCCAACCCGGTCAAGTACTGGGACATCCAGCCGGCCACCTTCCGCTGCGTGACCGGGCGGAGAGGCGTCCAGCTCGGAAACTTCAGAAAGTAGCAGCAGGAGACGGAGAACCGCCGCAATCCTCGAGATGTTACAAGGAAGGAGAAGCTGGAAGTGATTCCAATAGATAAGACAAAGATGAAACCGTTTTCCTAAAGGAAGCCAAATAAGACGAGCTTCCATTAAGTTAGAACCTTTAGTCGTTTAGTAGAGAAGTCCTCTGTCAGGAAAGCTATGAGTAGTAAAGCCACCACACGAGGAAATGTTTGAGCAGCACGGTGGCTGTAAGAGCATGAACATTATTATTATTAACACCCAACAGGAATCCTGCCCACCGGGATGGGGATTCCTGCCTGTAGCACCTCCACCTCCATGGTGTAAACTCTCCCAGGAACAAAGCGCCTCCCTCTGGTCACTCTCTGCAAAACCACTCAATGGTTCAATCCCAGTCTCCACCTGCAGCTCCAAACCCTGTCAGACTTCACAAAGCATGTCACTAGTTCTGACATTAATCCTAATTTTAACTGTTTTACAGATAAATCAAATCTTTTTCCTCCAAAAAACCAAAGCAACTATTTCATTTAAGGTACTGTGACAAACTATATGTCTGTGTTTAATGCAGCACAGCATGTAATGAATAAAGGTTTATATGATAAAAACTGTAGAGGTAAACCACCAACATGATAAAAAACCATCACATAGAGAAAAAGCCTTTGTTACAATAAACTGAAGATTTAAAAAAACTCACACTGATTTAAAAAAAAAAGAAAAAAAGAAAGTATTTTTAGCATGAATGCCATCAGTCCACTATTTGCAGCAGCTCTTCATGTTTTTTTTTTTTTTACTATTGTACACTAAAAAACAAACAAAAACATTATTTTTATCGTCAATTTTTGGAACATTTTAATGTTATTTTTCCTGTTTTGTTAGATGAAAGATAATAATTGGTAAAACACACTAATTTACGGGTCAAAACTATACCATATACACAGCAAAAATGTGCATTTTTCCAAATATTAATTCATTCTTTTGCATTATTGCGCCACCATTGGACAAACACCTACACACAACTCTGGCTATGAGTTTATATTTGCATGTAACTTCTTTTTTCTTGGGTTGGTTTCTCCTTTAAACCTGTTTTGTTTACCTTTTTGTTCCTTGGAAACCCCGAATTTTAACGCTATGAGCTCGAGCCCTGGATTTTCTGTAGCCAACACCAAATTTTAGAGAGTAAAAAAACACCATCATTAACATATCAGCTGATATTATGAAGCAAATGTGCAAAAGAAGCTCAAAATATCTGCACAAGCCCCACAGGTTGAGAGTCCCAGTGTGGACGCTGGGATTGGACCAACGACTTGCCTCGAGTGGTTTCAGGTCATTCAATGTCCGTCCAGGCAGAATCCAGGAAACGTGCTGCTCCACCATCTTGGATTCTGTTCAGTTCATCTATTTGTTGTTTTTGGACCCAAAACTTTGTATGCTCTGTAAAATAGTCTGGCTAAATTCTGAGAGTTTCATGTTATCAGAGCTCAAAATGTTTTTGTTTCCACCCTTTAGAAATACCAGTGAAGCCATTTTAAGGGTTCAGTATCTCCAGAAGTTAAACTCTCACAGCCATGAAGTTTGGTGAGAACACAGACAGAGTAGTGTCCAGCAGATTCAGAAAAACTGAATGGCTCCAGGAGGAAATAAATTGTAATTGGTGGCGCTTGAAACTGGAAAAAAAAAAGTACAAAACGTTCAAACAAGAGCAGTAATTGGGCCCCAGAAAGTATCTGCTAGTGTAAATATATGGATGGCTCCATATTTTCTCCTAAAATATCACATCCATTTATATACACCTACAGACCCTTTCTGGTGCCCAATCATCTCTTGTTTGAACGTTTTATATTATTATTCCTACAGGAACTTTCAAGGGTGCCAGTACCACCTTCATCTGAAAATGATGCACTTTTCTCCATTTTTAAGGGCCAATAATTTAAAAAATTGCCTTTGTTGGAGCCATTCAATCATTTGGATTTACTGGAAACTATTCTACCTGCATCTTCACCAACTTTCATGTCTGTATGAGTTTTATTTCTGGAGATACTGAAGCCTTAAGATGGCTCCAGAGGTTAGGTTGTTTGTGTGAAGGTGAAAAACCCCAGGTCTGAAAATATGAAAAATCTCAAAATTCAGCTAAAACATTTTACAGAACTCAGTTTTGGGTAACAAATAACAAGTAATTATGACACAGACTGACCCATTTACATGGTGACCCATTTTATTACCAGAAGACATCAACTTTCTTTCTTTTCTATCTTTAAATAACGTCTATTGAGTTGTAGTCGAGTAGAAAACTTTTTTTTTCCTCCAGTGTCTCTGTTGTCTTTGTAATACTTATAAACAACAACGAAAACTTCTTGTAGTATTTCCTCGCGTATTATATCGATGCCTGTTTGTAAGTCGGGACGTTGTAATTATCACAGGAGAGTCGGAGCTGTAACGTAGCAGCAGCTTGAAAGCAAACCTGAAGTACGTTTTCCTCCCAGCAGAAGTCTGTACAGTTACTGAACGATGTCGGCATTATGTAGTGCAATAAGTCGCTCTGAGTCTGCGTTGACGTCTGTATGTTATCTCACCGCATGTCTGTGTCACCTTTATCTAGAAGCTGAACGTCAGACTGGATTATTAAGCGTCCTCTGCAGGGCCGGGGACGGACCGGCTATCTCTACGCTAGACGTCCCCCGTTTTTATAAACTATAGCATCCAAATGAAGTTAATAATAAACTGAAACAGAAGCCGGCGTAATCAGGCGTAAACCCCAATTATCTGTCATGTCTGAGAGAATCTTCTGCTCCAACAGGTTTCCTTCAGTGTCCTCTCCTCTGAATGGTGCTATATTTATTGAGGATGTCTTTAAATAAAACTGGAACACCTCCACACCCACGCCTCGACTTTTATTTTCATCAAAGCAAACACGAGACGGAAAGTCGACATCTGTCTACTGTGGTCGTGTAAACTGGTTTCAAGCAGCAGTTTCTGGGTGGTTTTTGCTCCCGTCACGTTTTTACTCACTGTGGCTCATTTTCTGCAGCTTTATGGGAACAGAACAACCATGAAGGAGGAGCGAGGACTCAGAGATGTCTGCTTTGACTCGGTTAGAAGGACAGAAATTAGAACATAATTATTTTACAAACCCCTCAGCATGTCTTGGGAGTTGGAGGTTTAATCACTTGGCTGTGTTAGGGTTAGGGTTGAACAGCTTTAATTGGTCATTTACAGCCACGTTTTGATGTTTTTGAAGAGCAACACCAAACAGATTTTGATGAATCAATGTTATAGCTATCTAGTCTATATAGTGCCAGAAGATAGGAGGAAAATATCCAAAGATGCTTAGAGTTAGAGCTAAAACTGATTATTCCACATAAAACCTCTCCCACGTGTATTTAATTTACATTATATATTAAGATTTTGCTCAAAAGATGAATGAAACAATCCAGGAATTATCAACACATTGTCATAAAATGGATTTAAGTAATTGAAACAATGATTAGAACACATCTCACCTGTATCTCAACTTGTAATTAAATTGGTATGGTATTTTAATTTCTGCTAAATCATTGCTTCACTGCTCCTTTTATTGAGCGTTTGACGTCTACGCTGCTCTGATTGAACCACTGTTTTCCTTCAGTAGGATTTCAGATTAAGGAAAATTAACAGTTTTAAATTTTATGTTTGGGAAAAGCAAATACTTCAGCTAGAACAATGTAAAACTTCGTTAATATATTTTATTTTATTAATCTATTTATTGTCTGTAAGTCTGGTGCAGGTGGGTGAAGGGAAAGTGTGCATATGTGTATATTTATATGAAAAAAATTAAATAAAAATAAAGTGTTCCCAACAAAAAAATAAAAACTGAAAACTTCAAGTTGACTTAAAATTAAGCTACAGCAATAAAAAACTGTTTATTTGAGAAGAATCAAGTTATTTAAGTACATCCAACTGAAACCAGCAGCAATATCATTAATATTTCTTGTTATTTTAATTTGGATGAACTTGATTCAGTTCCCGAATAAGGAAATTAATTTAAGTTGGTCCAACAATTCTCTTTTTGAATTATAATTAATTCAACTAATTACCTTCATCCTTAATTCTAAGCTCAACTTCCTTCATATTGAAACTGTCCTGCTGAGATATTAGTTGTAGGACGACCTTGTTTAGTTTAATATCAAATATAAAGGCAGGTTGTATGGCGTTTTTAATATAAAAATATCTCTTCCACCTTTATCCCAGTTAAATGTTGTCACTGGGACCAGTGTTGCTTGTGGCTGAGTTGTGTTTTTTCTTTAATCCGCCAGCAGATGTCGCTGCACCACAAAGAGTTCCTCAGAGTCTGGAGGAAAAGTCCTGAAGGAACTGGTTCAGATTGAACTTTGCTGTTTCTGCCAAGTCTGTCACTGTACTTCTAAATGAAGGAAGTCTGCGGCAGCCAGACGCTCTTGGAAAATACAGAAAGGATGAAAATCTTCAAACCAACCTTTAGCTTACCTCTTTACTGGACATTAAAGCTGTTTGCTACAAATACTAATGACTGTCACACAACACAGGACTTAAAGTGACTATTTATACCACAGAGTCTCTTAAAGCTGCACTTTTAAATACGTGGACATTTAATGGTTTAAGTGTAATTAAGTGGTGCAGGTTTAAACATGACTGAACCAGGAGGCGTCAGTTCAACGCCACAAGAAGAATGAGCAGAACCCAAACTCATTGTGGGAAACATGCACGTTGTTTTGCTGCAGAGAGTGGGATGACTTTCACATCTGTACAGTAAGCATGAAGGTAGAAGCAGCAGCTGGTCGATTCAGCACAAACATGTGGACACCTGGAGGAACAACTACCCTGGTTCTCCTGTGAAATCTGCTCCTCTGCGTTTTCGTGTTTGTGTGATTTAAAGCTTGATCTAAAAGGTCAAACTGTTCCTTTAGTAGTGGCAGCGTAAAATGTTTTTTACACAACTACCTTTTTCCAGCAAAGTCTTCATCAGTGCATGAAGTTTGTTTATTGGCGTCACAATGCAGATTTTTTGATTATTTTGCACCAGAATCAAGCCAATGAATAAAGTCGGAGGCTACTAGGGCTGCTCCATATGGGAAATCGTGGCATTGCAACACTTTTTAGTTAAACATTACAGCAATTTTCAATGGATGACTTTAATAACTCTGTTTAGAAAGAATTAATCATTAATCATCACTGCAAAGAAAATAAAAAAATACTAAAAAAAAACACCAGAACGGAACATTAACAACATCCTAAGTAGTTAGTTGTTTTGAAGATCACTCAGATTTGTCCTTCACAGCTCTGTGCTGCTGATTTAAACACTTAAATAATTAGTTCTGTTGCCTCGTGTGAGTTTCTGTTTACAACCAAATGCTGCAATCTTTTTGCATCAAGCAGCAAAATAAAGTGTTAGCGTGCTGTTGCACTGCATTACTGACGCTACAACAGAATATATAATGCAGCCCTGGTGCTAATATTTCATCATCGGTTAATTCTTTCTGACCTCACAGAGACCACGGTCAGAACCAATCGCATCCACGCAGCATGGAGAGGTCCAGTCACGTCAAAGACTTCATGATGACGAGTCAAGAACTGAATTTACTGATAGGAGTGATCAACTGAAGGCTCATTTCTTTTCAAAACACCACTTCTGTCAATATTTTAAACACAAAAATTACAAGCAAGACCAAAACCTGGTGACTCTGCACCCAGTAGATAGTGAATTATTTATACTTTCAACCTGTTTCTAGTAGGGCTGGACCCGAATAGCTGAATATCTGAATATTCGGTCCTTGTGCTGGTATCGGGATAGCAATTTTGATCTACA